TCTCTCTCCCTCTCCCTCTCTCTCACTCTCTGCATGGTGTAGAGCTTAAGTGGTTCACCATTGCTCACAGAAGAAGCTATTTCAATTCCTTTATGGGGAGGGTTTTTGTTATCTCCCTCTCTCTGCTGGGCTGTTGCGTCCCTCTCAGTGTAGGTAGGTTTCGTTACCCGTCCTTTAACGGATCTAAATTGTGTCAATGGGGGCATTAAACAATTACAACTACATGTAATACTTTTGATCACTATCTGTTTTGCTTTCTCATTTCTCTGTGTTTCTTGTCCTAAGCTTTCTTTAGGTTGTTGTGAAGAATGTAATTAAGAGACAACAGTCCCAGCAACATAATTATTTAATCGTTCTTGTCTTATTTCCATTGTCAATATCTCACTGAAGTCGGTGGTTGGCAAATGCCCTGGTGTTGGCTTGCTCCTTCTCTACTATCAAATATCTATCGTCCTGATCTCTCCTAATTCTGATTTGTGTTTGTTACCCTCCTGTAACACCTCTAAACAGCAGCACTCGTATGACCTAATTGTGTTGCAAGTCCTGTTAAAATGTTATTGCTACTAGCTCAGAGTCATAACTGTTGCCCAACCGTTTTGTTGTAAGTATGGAACTGTGCTGAGAAAAGTTCAGTCATTGTCTGCTCTGATCGTAAAGTTTGTCAATCTCAATTCTTCTGCTTGTTATATAGAACTCTAGATCTATGAGGGGGGGGGAGATGCAAAACCCGCTAATTGGCATTTTGAAAAAAATCGAGATTTTTTGTTAATAAATGCACATTGTTACCGGCTATCAGATGCACAAAGTGTTTTTTTTTTTTTTTACCAAAACTCAACACATGCTCCATAAAAGCCATAAAAAAATATTCTTTTTACACATGTTCGTGGGTATAGCAGCGTTGTAAAAAGCTGATTATCTCAAAAGAGCTTAAATGGATGTAGCGGGTTTTTCATCTCATCCCCTCATCCTCATATGTACTGTATATTTTATCGAGCACTCGCTAACTATCGCTTGTAAACTGAGAGCTGAGCCTCCAAAAGAAGAATAGTTGTCTTAATCGAACATTTGAATAAGTGGAAAAAGGTGTGCTGTAATGTTATTTTTTATAGCTTTTTGAATGGGACTTAATCGAACATTTGAATAAGTGGAAAAAGGTGTGCTGTAATGTTATTTTTATAGCTTCTTGAATGGGACTTCATCGAACATTTGAATGAGTGGAAAA